TGTAAAACTTTACTTGTTTATTGTTTATGGTTTATTAATTTCTTATGTAATTTTGAATTATTATTTCTTAATTGTATGCTACAATAACAAATTGAAATTGAAATGAAAAATTGAGTAAGAAATGTCTTATTTTTCTTTGTTGAAGTAGAAAGAAAATTAAAATAAAAAAAAACGTGCTAAACTAAGGAAAATATGTAAAAAAAAAAAAAAAAGAAAAACAGATTGAAGTAGCTCCAAAAACAAATATTAAAGGAAGGAAAAACACTGCCTACACAAAACAAAACAAAAACAAAAAAAGAAACAAGAAACTAGTAACAAATTACAAAACAATAAAAACAACAAAAAGCAAATAAATGAATTTACAAAAAATATTAAATTACAAAACACAAAAAAAGAAAAAAAAACAGTTACAGTTTGTATTCGTAGATAGCCAAAATAACTAATTGAATTGAAAAGCCCAGCAATACATTGAAGAAAACAACCAGGTCCACTGAAAAGAATATGCCTAAACAAAAATTGTAGTTGAAATAAAAGAAAAACACAAATAATTCTAGAGTTACGATCTGCATGCGACATTTCTAGCAATTAGCCATTTGTACAGTTCACAGAGCCAATAATTAAAAAAACAAAAAAACAAAAATAAATTAAAAGGTTTTGGCTGAGCGATTATAAAAAAAAAAAAAAAAAAAAAAAAAAAAAAAACAGAAAACCAAAAAGAAACAAGAAAAGAAACGATTCAAATACAAGTTCATTGTTAATAAATCATTACAAAAATTACGCCAAACACGCGATCGCACTGGCAACTCTGTCATAATAATAACAGTTATTTTATAAGTGCCAGACATTAAGCGAGTCTAATTACTAAGTCCGAGCGACACGAGCGAACCAGTTCTGAATAACTTCAAGGCCATAGCGGAAGACGCATCACGGGGTCAGAAATGAACGGATGGCTGGATCTACAAAAGTCAAAAAGAAGAAGAAACAAACAGAAAAGAGAGACAGCGCTGTCCAAATAAAAATAAAACATATTAACAAAACACTGACAACTAATAATGCAAGAAACATCTACAGATCCTAGTTAATTAAATTGTACATTTTTATTATCATTAAGATTTAAGTGCAGTGCATAATATAAATATGCATACATCTGACTACACACACACCCACACACATACATACATATATAATATATATACAAACACATATATGTATATGCATGCATTCATGTATGATGGCAACAACAACAACAAATGTATATCGTAATAAATTCAAACTAAATTTTACAAAAAGAAAAAAAACTAAAATATAATGTCAACTTAATTGCAGTCAAATTAACTGAAAGGTAAGTAAAGCAAAATTATATAGGAAAAGCAGCTTATCTAATGCCGTAATAATATCATGAAAGCTTTAACCTAGAAATATCAATATAAATCTTTTTCCTATGAACAGATTTGAGCCTCTTGGTAGCACATATTGTATAAAGACAAAACCTTACCTCGTTATTTAAATTACTCTCCAATTCCTCTCAAACTGTGCTGCCCGATAGCCTTGCATATTGTTATATATGTAGAATATAGGAATACATATTCTTAAAAACTGTATACAAATATAGTTTCAACAGCTCTACATAACTGTCCTCCTCTTTAAAAGGCCTCAGATAAACTATATCTCCATTATAATCAAGCTCTGCCTTAGGAAACATTTTCTTGTGAAATTTCTTAACAAAACTTCCAAAAATATTGCATTCCTGCAATTACTTAAATCAATGGTACTTAACAATCCCATATGTAGGTATATTGCGTCTTTAACGAATGAAAGAGCTGCACACTTTTGTGCCACGCCCATCCATCCACCTCCCCCTCAATCGATCAGGCCGTCAGTCACGCAGCTGGCGCTGATTAGCATAAGTAAATGGCAAAAACAAAAAGTTTTGCACAATTGCCAAATAAAAAAGGTAAAAAAGCGAAAGTATGTTAAGCATAAATCGATCGAGGTAGCTGCTTGAAAGTCAGGCATAGCTATTTTTAAGCAGCCTGGCGAAAACCGCAAGGACGAGTCGCGCCTGCCACCGAAGTCAGCAGAAAGAAGTTCACCTGGGCCTGGGTTGCGTTTGTGCCCAATTGGATTGCCAGGTGACATACACAAGGCAACACACACACTGAGGCGCAGCTGCCCTGGCTACCACACATACAGAGGTCCACATGGAGCATATACCAACATAAAAATAATAAATACCGCTAGGCAACGGCTGAATTCCCTAGCATGAATCGATTAAACTAACCCTCGAGCTGGAGAAGCAGCAGCTGCAGCTGCAGCCCAGTAGTTACAGATTCGGAGCCAGTCAGCCAGGTCGTCAGGTACTCAATTTCCCAAGCTCAATCGAAACCAAAGTGTGCCAGGACTTGCTCAAATTAGGAAAAAAAAAATTTAGAGAAATTCTCACATACCTCCTAGAGCAGTGTACATGTGTATACAGAATTGCATACGTAACAGTTAATTTCCTCGTTTGATTAAATCTTACGCAATATAATATAAATCTATTTTATATTAAACCAACCTAAAGTTTACATTGAGTTACGAGATTGTGAGACAGTGCGTCACCATGTTGCCGAACCTAAAAGCGCGTCGCATCACGGGCCTGCAGCTGGCAAGCAAGCATCTGGGTCCAGTGGCCAAGTGCCCGCCCAGGTACTCTGAGGAGGATTGGGACTACAACAACAAGATCAAGTTCCGCATCACCTGCGACCAGGAGAAGCTAGCCGAGCGCATTGTCGAGTAAGTAACCCAACGATCAGCAGATTATAGTCTGTCCAACTGCATTGGCCGTTGCTCTGTTGTCCTGCTTAGGGAGTCACGTCGCGTAGTCGATGAGACCAAGGACACCACCAAGAATTGGCAGCGTGAGGTGGAGCATCACATGCGTGAGCGCACCAGTGAGATCCGTTTTCTAGTCGATGAGCTGAACCGCCAGAAGAAGACCGCTATGCTGGAGGATGAGACGCTCAACACGTATCGCAATCGTGTGCTAAATGCCATTGAGTTCCTCAAGGATAAGTCGCTGGCTATTTGCAAGCAGTGCCTGATCCTACGCGAGGGACGCATTGGTGTGGATCTCTGTGACGATGAGGTGGATCGCTCGCTGCGTCGCGAGCTGAAGGTGATCAAGGGCTGTCAAGGTCTGGCCGACGCTGCTCTAAAGGAGGCCGAGGAGCAGATTCGCAAGCTGCGTGCTGCGATGTACCTGCTGGATCAGGATCTCTCAGCCAAGGACAAGTCGCTGGCTATCGACGAGAAGAATCTGAAGCTGAAGGAGTTTCAGCAGGATCTTGGCAAGGGCCAGGATCTATCCAAGCAGCACTGGTAGGTCTGCAATCGTATTCACTTTTCATTTTAATTGTTCCGTATTTCCATCTCCCAAGCCAATTCTCGTTGACTGAGTGGCAGGCGCAGACCTATGAGAATCTGGAGGCCAATGCCAAGGCTCTGGTGTCCGCCGGGCAGCTGCGTGCCTATATTGATCTTCTGTTGAAGCAGGTCTGCGAAGATATGCAGAACCAG